CCTTCCTTCCTTCCTTCCTTCCTTCCTTCCTTCCTTCCTTCCTTCCTTCCTTCCTTCCTTCCTTCCTTCTTTAATAACCAGGTTGTTAAATGAATCGGGCTTCCCTATCGACTTTGCTTGTCAGAAGGTTGCAAAAGGGGATCACACGACCCCAGGAAATTTGCAACCGTCGTAAATACGAAGCATCTGAATTTTTATCATGGGATGCCATAACGGCTGTATGTAGATCATGTCACTTTTTCCAATGCTGTCGTAACTTTGAACTGTCACTAAGTCAACTGTTGTAAGTTGAGGACTATCTGTTATTAGCTTTATCTTTATATTTTCAGTTCAACATTACTCTTTTTTCATATTTTATGCCATCTGCTGTCATCTCTTATGCAAGTAATGGGTCTGCTTGCATAATGCGTGTTGGCAGCCATTTATGTTTTCAACAGATTTCTTTCACAGTTCCTTTCTCCAACAAAAATTCCAAAAAGATTTAACAATTTTATTTGTTCAATCCAAGGCCCTGAAGTTTTCCTTGTTTTTCAGCCAATCCACAAACCTCCGCTTCAAAAGCAAATCAGAAAATTGGAAGGTGGGATAGAGACAGAAACAAATCTTTGCAAAAGCAGAAACTAAACTAGTAATAATAAATCTTTGTGAAATACATTTTTGGCAAGGCAATCAGAAAGAGAGAGAAAGAGAAGGTGATCAGAAATAAAATGCTTGCAAAAAGAGGAATGAAATCATAAAGAAAAATTGGAAATGAATCTTTGTAGAGATCAAAAATATTTTTTTGCAAAAAGAAGAATGAAATCAGAAGTAAATAATATGCAAAAAAAAGATCCCCTTTGGTGCGCCGTATTTATGACAATCGCAGTGTTCTGGGTTCATGTGATCTACTTTTGTGAGCACCTGACCAGCAAAATCAAAGGGGAAGCCAGATTCACGTAACCGTATAACTCCTTTCTTTTATTGATTTATTGGAGTTTGTCAAAAAAAAAAAAACAGGAACAAGAGAATAAAAATACAATGACAGGGATGATAGGCACGTTAGTGCACTTATGCATGCCCCCTCTTAACAGCTGCTTAACTCTTGAGGTCCCCAAACTTGACAACTTTAAGACTTGTGGACTTCAACTCGCAGAATTCCTCAGCCAGCTTTGGGAGTTCTGGGAGTTGAAGTCCACAAGTCTTAAAGGGGCCAAGTTTGGAGACCTCTGGCTTAACTTAACAAACTGCAGCAATCCACTTAATAACCGTGACAAGAAAGATCATAAAATGGGGCAAAACTCAATAAACATCTTTCTTGTTTAGCAACAGAAACATGGAGCTCAGTTGGGGTCGTAAGTGAAATAAGATTAGAAATGGCTTGGTTGGTGTTTCTCAGTGTTGGCAACTACTAGATGGTTGCCCAAATTTTGATTACTAGACAGGGATTCCTGTGACAGTTGTAAGTGCAGTTGTAAGTCAACTTTTTTTCCCCAGTGCCGTTGTAAGTCAGGGAATGGTTGCAAGTTGGGGACTACCTGCAGATGGAGATAGCTGTGTTACCAAGATGGGTCCATGGGCATTGGTTACTAGGCAGCATCTGACGTTTTGGTGAGCACAAGACTGTTTCCAAGGAGGGTTGGGATGATCTCCAATATTGCTTTAACTTGCTTTCTTTCTCTCTTCCTTTCCTCTCTTCCTCCCTCCCTTCAACCATCTTTCTTTCCCCCCTCTGTTTCTTTTCCTTCCCTCCCTCCCATCCATCCTTTTTCATTCTTTTTTTCCCTTTCTTTTCCTTTCCCCCTCCTTTCTCCTCTCTTCCATCTTCCCTCCCTCCCTCGTTTATGTCCTTCTTCATTTCCATTATTCCTTTCTCCTTCCTTCCTCCCCCTCTCTCCTTCCTTCCTTCCTCCCTTTCTCCCTCCCATCCATCCTTTTTCATTCTTTTTCTCCCTTCCTTTTCCTATCCTTTCCCTCCTTCCTTTCTCCTCACTTCCATCTTCCCTCCCTCCCCTCCCTACTTTCCCTCCCTCCTCCCTTTATTTCCTCCTTCCCTTCCACCGTTCCTTTCTCCTCCCATCTATCCATCTTCTTTCTCTCCCTCCCACCCCTTTTTTTTCTTCCCTCCCTTCTTCCCTCCCATCGTTCCCTCCCTCCAGCTGATAGTTGAAAAGACAGCTGACCACCCTGTTCCCGAATACTCCCTGGTAGAAGATGCTGCCTTCCATGCCACGTACTTGATGGACAGGCTGAACGAGCAGCGCCTCTTCCAGCCCGACTTGTGCGACGTGGACATCGTCCTGGTGCATCAGAAGTCCGTCTTGCCGGCCCACAAGGGGGTCCTGGCAGCCTACAGTCCGTTCTTCCACTCCCTCTTCACCCAGAACAAGCAGCTCCAGAGAGTCGAGCTTTCTCTGGAGGCCTTGACCGCCCTGGGCCTTCAGCAGATCTTGAACTTTATCTACACCTCGAAGCTCTTGGTCAACGATGCCAACGGTCAGGATGTCCTGAAGGCGGCCTCGGTCTTGCAGATGACCGACATCGCCTCCTCCGTTCAGGAACTCCTCACCACCCGAGCTCTCAGCTTGGCCATGACCAACAACATGGCATTGGCTTCGGACAACGCTAGCAAAGCCACCCCACTGCCTCAGTTCTTCTGCGACGTGAAGCAAGAAATGGACCCCACACGCCCTAAGATCTTCGCCCGAGAAGGCAACATCCCGTATTCTGTGCGGGTGGAGGATGGCAACCGAGACCAGCCTACTACGGCCAACAAGACGTTCTACAAGGAAGAGGAACGCGGAGCTCCCCCTGTCTGCAAGATGGAAGGGGACGCTGCGGAGACTCCCTTGGGCAGCCAAGGCTCCTACAGCCGTGGCGAGCAGATCATTGTGGAGGTCAACCTGAACAACCAGACCCTCAACGTCTCTACGGGTGCAGAGGGACAGCCTACTGCGGCCAACCAAGCGGCTGCAGAAGCTGGACGGCCAGAAGGAGGTTCCTCGGTGGTGGGTCGGGAACAAGAAGACGGCGGTAAGCAAGATGAAGAGGACGATGCAGATATGGGTGAGGAAGATGGGCGCTCGGAAGAGGAAGACCTGGAAGAGGAGAACACCTCGGAAGAGGAAGAAGAAGAGGAGGAGGAAGAGGAGGAGGAAGAAGAAGAAGAAGAGGAGGAGGAGGAAGAGGAGGACAGAGGGGACAATGTGGCCAAGAGTAGAGGGGAGAAGACCGGAGGACCTCGGAGAACTAGGTCACTGGCCAAGGCCACCAACTCATCCACGTCCCCCAAAATGGGTGAGGTTCCCACCACGATGGAAGGAGAGGAGGAGGAGGAGGAGGAGGGAGAAGCTGAAGACGAAGTCGCTGAGCGGGACGAGGGGAATCAGAGAGCCAAGAAGCAGAAGAAGGACCAGGATACTCCCGGCCAGAAGGTCAAGCTGGAGGAGAAGCAACATTATCCGTGCAAGAAGTGTCCGCGCGTGTTCAACAACCGCTGGTACCTGGAGAAGCACATGAACGTCACGCACACCCGCATGCAGATTTGCGAGAAGTGTGGCAAGAGATTCCTGCTGGAGAGTGAGCTGGTCTTGCACCACCAGACGGACTGTGAGAAGAACATCCAGGTGAGGAACTCCCAACGGCTTCCTTTCTCCTTCAACCGGGCACCCTGGAGGTCTTGGGGTGGGAGCTCCAATGAGGTTTTGTTGTAGAGGCAAGTCCTCAACTTACAACGGTTTGTTGAGGGGCCGTTCAAAAGTCACAACGGCGCTGTGACGAGGTGACCTAAGGACGGTTTTTGCACAACTGGCCATTACAGCATCCTCCCCCTGCCCCCCCCCCCCCCATGGTCACCTGATCAAAATCCGGCCGCTTGGCAACTTCCTCATATTTATGACGGTTGCAAGTGTCCTGAGGTCACGTTTTGCGACCGTCTGATAAGCAAAATTGATAGGGAAGCCCTGAAAAAAGTGACGCGGGGGTGGGCTACTGGGGGGGGGGGAGTGTCCTAGGGGTTCGGGAGAGCCCCTAGCTAAGATTCTGTGCAATTCAGAGAACCCCCAAATCCCACTCCTGGCTGGCCCCGCCCACCCCTCCCCTCACCTTCCGCGAGTCCCCACAGGGCCCGTTTTGGATGCAGGTAAGTGCAGGGCTTGCGCGGAGGCTCAGGGAGGGTGAAAAACGGGCCTCCCAGAAGTTCGGGAAGGCTGGAAATGGGCCCGTTCCCGGCTTCCAGAGAGCCTCCGGAGCCCGGGGAGGCCGTTTTTGTCCACCCAGAGGCTCAAGGAAAGCCTCCGGAGTCCGGGGAGGGCAAAAACACCCCCCCCACACTAGGTCACACCCACCATAGCCACGCCCACCCAGCAACCGGGCAGAGAACCCCTTGCTAAAATGTTTGAAACCCACCTCTGCTTATGACCGTGTTTCACCGTTATGACTGTTGCAGCATCCCCATGGCCATGCGATGAAAGTTCAGACGCTTGGCCACGGGTTCGTATATATGACGGTTGCAAGCCGTCCAGGGGTCGTGTGATCCCCTTTTGTGACCTACCGACGATCAGTGTCAATGGGAGAAAGCCAGGTTCACTTAACCAACCCTCCTGAGTAACAGCTGCAGTGATTCACTTAACAACAACGGTGGCAAGGAAGGCCGTAAAATGAGGCAAAGCTGATTCAACAAATGTCTCACTTAACAACAGAAATTTTGGGCTCAATTACGGTCCTAGGTCGAGGGCTTACAGCACAGTTGCAAACGCTCCCGTTCAACGTGGCAAGATGGAGGCTGACCCAGCTCATCAGGCATCTTCAACTTTCAACCACCATTGTGCCCCAAATTTCCGTCACTAAGAGAGACTGTAGTGAAGTAGCTTTGCCCCATTTGGCGACCTTTTTTGTCACCGTTGTTAAGTGACTCACTGCAGTTGTTAGGTTAGTCACACAGTTGTTAAGTGAACCTGGCTTTCCCCCATTGGCTTTGCTTGTCAGAAGGTCGCAAAAGGGGATCATGTGACCTTGGGATGCTGCAACAGTCATAAGTACATGCCAGTTGCCAAGCATCTGAATTTTGATCATGTGAAAAACGGTCATAAGTCACTTTGAGCAGTCACTAAACAAATGGTTTTAAGTTGACTATCTGTATAAGAGGAAAGAACACAGGTAGTCCTCAACTTATGACCACAATTGAGCCCAACATTTCTGTCGTTAAGTGAGACATTGGTTAAGTGACTTTTGTCCCATTTTACAACCTTTCTTGCCACCATCAAATTGCTGCAGTTGTTAAGTTAGTCACACGGTTGTTAAGTGAATCCAACTTCCCTGTCGACTTTGCTCGTCAGTAAGTCGCAAAAGGGGGATCATGTGATCCTGGGGCACTGCGACCGTCATAAATATGAGTCAGTTGTAAAGCACCTGAATTTTGATCATGTGACCACGGGAACGCTTCAGTGATCGTAAGACACCTTTTTCAGTGATGTTGTAACTTCGAACGGTCACTGAATAAACTTTGTTGTAAGTCGAGGACGAACTGTATTTTGTCGCTCAAAACAATTGTTGTCTTATCTTTCTTGTACCTGCTTTAATTTGCCCTGAATACCCAACCGGGAGATGTGGTATGTAGCAAAATTTTACTTTTGGTTTAGGCCACAAAAGATCCATATATGAAGGATCTGGGATCAACTTTAGCAGCGGCTTCTCAGTTTCCAGTTGAGAAGGAGAAGTAAACCTGTTGTGAGTCAGAATGTGTGCAATTCAAAGATTATATAATCTTAAATTTTCAAACTGAATTTCTTACGAAGGGGTGTTTTTGTGTGTGTTTGTGTGTTCATCCCTGTGTTTGTGTGTGTGTGTGTGTGTGTGTGTGTGTGTGTTTGTAGCCTGCAGCGCCACCAAGTGGCTGAAAGCAAAATTGCAAGGAGAAAAGGGGAGGATTTTTTACAAATAAGAAAAGCCATGTTTTTTTTTTTGCAAAATTTGCAAAGTCTTTAAGAAAATCGCTGCACTTGCTACATGAGTCTGGCAGTCACTAAGTGAATCTGGATTCTCCCTCTTCGCTTGTCGGAAGGTCACAAATGGGAATCACAAAGGAAAATTTAAACCGGATTTTTTTCTCCTAGGAATAATATCATATATTATATCATATATCATACAATATTGGGCAGGGGGTTGGACTAGATGATCTATAAAGTCCCTTCCAACTGTGATTATCTGTTATCTATTATCAGAAAGATATAGGAACGATTTAATGTATCTAATAGTACATGTATTAACAGCGGCTAGAATAATATATGCACAATATTGGAAGAATGAAAACATACTGCCAGAAACAGAGATAATAAGAAATATTATGGCATGTGCAGAATTAGATAGGTTAACTCCAGAATAAAAAAAACAAGGGAAAATCTTAAGTACTATGAAACATAGAATAAATTCTATCAATGGTTGTATAGAAGGCAAGGTTGGAACATAAGTAGTTATGATGATTAGAACAATTAATAAATAATATATCAAATAAGGAGATTATAAATGATGAAGTAAAACCAGAGGTGGGATTCTACCAGTTCGCACCTATTCGCTAGAACCGGTTGTTAACATTCTAAGCAGTTCGGAGAACCGGTTGTTAGAAGAAATTACTGGGCTAATCCTGTAAGGAAGTCAGGAAGGAAACATTCTGGTGTTGCTTACAGAAACTGCCTCTCCGTTAACCTTTATTACATTCTTGGCAGGACTAGACTTCCTGTCTCTGGAACTTCTCTGGAGTTTTTTTTCTCCTCCTTGGCTGGTACTTTGCTTGTGTGGAGTGACCATTCAAAGTTACAATGGCACTGAAAAAAGCGACTTATGACCCTTTTTCACACTTACGACTGTTGCAGCATCCCCACAGTCACGAGAGGCCAGGCGTGGAGATGCGTGCCTCGATGTGAGTGATATTGAGTTGGCCACACCCACCCAATAACATGATCTCCAAGCCACACCCACCAACTAAGCCACGCCCACAGAACCAGTTGTTAAAAAATTTGAATCCCACTCCTGAGTAAAATGTATATATGTACAATAATTGCAATGCCAGATTGGCTGCACCGTGTTGTATTCTTATAATTAAAATTTAAAAAAACAAATAAATAAAAAATACCTGCCCCTTGCCAAGCGCCTGAATTTTGGTCACATGTCCAGGGGACGCTGCAACGGTTGTAAGTGTGAGGACAGATTACAAGTCACTTTTTTCAGTGCTGTTCTACGGTCACTAAAGGAAGGGTGTAAGTCAAGAAGCTGGAACAGTAATTCTCAACCTTGAGAACTTCTAAGAGAGGTGGATTTCAACTCCCAGAATTCCCCAGACAATTTGCTTGCTGGCTGAGGAATTCTGGGAGTTGAAGTCTACCTCTTCTTAACGTAGCCAAGGTTCAAAAAGCTGAAATAATCAGGGTCATTGATCCAAGTAATATTGGCAATCAATTGATAGGCCAACATGGATAAGACTAGGTCTGATTGGACAAGAAGGTTCAATCCTGTATAAGCAGTCCTCGATTTATAACCACTTGTTTAGTGACTGTTCAAAGTTACAGTGGCACTGAAAAAAAGGTGATATGACCATTTTTCACACTTAATGACCGTTGCAGCATCCCCTTGGTCAGGTGATCAAATGATCAGGTGCTTCACAACTGGCTTGTACTTATGACCGTTGGCAGAGTCACATGATCCCCTTTTGCAACCTTCTGACAAGCAAACTCAAAGGGGAAGCCGGATTCACTTAACAACCAGGTTACTCACTTAACAACTAGAATGAGTCATTTAACCGGGTCAAGAAATGTCATAAAATGGGGCAAAACCCACTTAGCATCTGTCTCGCTCAGCAATGGAAACGTTGGGCTCAATTTCCATGGTAAGTCAGAGGACTTAAGCTTGGAAGAGATTTTTAGGCTATTCTTACATTAAAACTGGAAGTCAGTTGATAGATTTACAGCTTCAGAGGTGACCCCTGGGTCTTCTCCTTTGCAGTGCATGACTTGTGGGAAGGTTTTTAAGAAGCTCTGGTCGCTGCATGAGCACAACAAAATTGTCCACAGTTACGCCGAGAAGAAATTCTCCTGCGAGATCTGCGAGAAAAGGTTCTACACAATGGCGCACGTGCGGAAACACATGGTTGGTGAGTAGGGTGGGGAACGCATGGAGAAGAAGGGCAGGAACGGAGACCTAAGGACATATTTAGAACAGGGCTGGGGAATCATGGCCCTTTCATGACTTGTGGACTTCAACTCCCAGAATTCCTGAGGCAGCCATTTTGCACTTCAACTCCCAGTCCTGAGTCAGCCATGTTAGAATTCAATTCCCAGAATTCCTGAGCCAGCCATTTTGGAATTCAACTCCCAGAATTCCTGAGTCAGCCATGTTGGAATTCAATTCCCAGAATTTCTGAGCCAGCCATTTTGCACTTCAACTCCCAGTCCTGAGTCAGCCATGTTGGACTTCAACTCCCAGAATTCCTGAACAGCCATGTTGGAATTCCACCCCCAGAATGCCTGAATAGCCATGCTGAAATTCAACTCCCAGAATTTCTGAGCCAGCCATTTTGCACTTCAACTCCCAGAATTCCTGAGTAGCCATGTTAGAATTCAACTGCCAGAATTCCTGAGCCATGTTGGAATTCCACCCCCAGAATTCCTGAA